ATATAATTATATATATATTTAATAAATAAGTTAATATTTTAAGTTTAAAATTCAGTTTGCTCTTCTATTATCATTTTGAAGAGTTTTATTATTTAAGATGGACATTGAATTTAAAACTAAAATGTTTCTTTCCTATCTATAATAAATAATTTGATGTTCTCATAAATTGTAGTAAACATCATTAAAATTGTTCAGGTAAGAATTAATGCTAAATTTTTTCTTTTGCTGCTTTTTTTTATTATTTAATCTGATGAAAATAAAACATAAAACAGTAGTCCCTACTATTGAAATAAAGCTTTGTAGTAATCTCAAAGTTTTTTTAATGTTTACATTACTTTAGATTACATATCTGTCATTGTTGTTATTTAATTAAATATATTCAATGCAGTATATGTATATATACATAGCATATTTTTTTTTAAAGAAAATCTAGTTATTTTAAAATCAATATATGATTTTAGAATGAAATAATGCTTGTTACAAGTTAGCTTTTTAGTTTAAAGTGTTAATGTACAATGGGATTATTATTTTCAATATTTTAAAGTATTCTTTATTTTTATAATAATTTTTTCTGTAATGTTGTTGAAAATATATGGATAAACATTTATGAATTATAATATACATAAATAAATTATTTTTATATAAATATTTTAAAAGATTTCTAAGAAAGATTTTAGTAATATCAGAGAAAATGAGTGTTTACTATATGTAAATAAAAATAAATGTAATAAACAGTAATTGATTTTAATGTTTTTTCAAATTTAAGATGAAAAAATTGATGCATATCTAAACATTATAGTGCACTTGCTAAACATCATATATTATGATTTTATTAAGCTGATGATTTTTTGCACAATGTTTGCTAAAAGTAGAAAGCTTTATTTCATAAAGATCTTTTATTCATTATATAAAATTTATGAAAATTAATTTGGTAGTTGGAATGCTGCAGTTTGCAAAGTATAGATTAAGTAGTATTATATTTTATCATATATTTGCAGTACAAAAATTAATTTGCTGCCTTTAGTTCATTTCAATTTGTTATTAGTAGTTGAATGATGATTGCACCAGATAATAGTGTAAGGAGCAAAGCAGATTTGACTTTGTTCATTTGCAGATTTCTTATTTCTTTTATTTAGGCGATACTATTCAGATCGTGGTTCAGAAATAATCCATCATTACATGTAGGTACAATTTTTGGATTGCCTGATTGTTTTTTTTTCTTTTTATTAAATACAAATTTAATTTTTATAATGTTTATGTAGCTTATAAAATTTAGCTTTAATTATAATAAGCCATTTTCTTTGCATGTGTGTGAATTTTTATTTTATGTTTAAATATTTCCGTTTTGTCATCTTATTGTTTAGCTAATTCAAAATTAATTGCATATATTTAAAATTTGCTCATGAAATAAAATTATATAAGGAAATCAAAAAAAAATTTTTTTGATATAGCATCAATGAATCCATATAATCATTTTTGTTTAAATATAATTTTAAACCATCATTCATAAAATAAAAAAATATTCGTATAATTATAATTACACAATAGTAAATGTAATAATAAAAAATTATTATGAGAATATCATTTCAAAGTTTGAAATACATATTTTGTTTTTAAAACAAAACTGTTTAATTCAGACAATTTAGTATTTTTTTAGTATTTGTTTCCTTTAAATTTAAAATTTGGATATAAATTCTAAATTTACCTTCAAATTCCAATTTTGAACACATTTAAAAGTTTTAATTAATCTATTTTATTGTTTTTAATGTTAAACATAATGTTGCAAATATGTATTAATTAACAGAATAAGTACAGTTATAATTAATAAATTACTCTTATGTAAAATTTGAATAATAATAAATATAATATTTTGAATTTATACTGTAAACTTTATAATTTATTAATAGAACTATAATTAAATTTTAAGGTTTGATGCATTTATTATTTGAATTATGGAAAAATTATTGTTATAAATGATGCTATATTTACATATAAAAGCTTTGTTTTGATAGCAAAAATTTTCTTTTTTAATAGTAGTATAGTAAATTTTAATAGGAATACAATTTAATATTTAAATTTTGAAAAGGTTTTTAATAGAATTTCATTGTTATTTAATTTAGGAGAAATTGATATTTCCAAATCATCTTATAATATTCAAATTTGGTTAAATATTTAAATGCAACATCTGCAAAAATTTTTAACAAAGTAATTACGATATTTGAAATTTCAAAATTTTATTAAAATAATTACAAATTTTTAAATAAAAATTTAATCTTACAATTATTTTCATAGACATTAAAATTTCTTCATTATCTTATACAGTTAAGTAAGAACTTTATGATACATATTAATAACAATAATAGAAATTATAAGAATGGCTTCACAATATCAAGTTTTTATAGTTGATTACATACCATTATTAACTTAATAAAATAAAAATTTTTGTATTGTTAGATATTAAAGGTTTACATTAAAAATTAATCCACAAAATTGAAACTAATAATTGAAAATAGAATTTAATAAAAATTTGAAAAGCTTATGATTGTTGATATATTTTTGTAACAGTAATTAATTTAATTTTATTTATAAGCAGTCAAGCTGTCAAACAGATGGATAAATGATATAATCAAATTAAAAGAAACAGTAAAAATATTGATAGAAATATAATTACTTCTTAAAGTTTAAATATAAAAAATATCATTTAATGTAATTCTGTAATAAATAGTTAACAGTTGAATTGTCATGATATTCATGTAGCAACAAAATAAAAGGAATCAAAATTTACCATATGGAAAAATATGTTTTGAATTAGAGTAAACCCTTGAATTAACAGTTTCCAATTTAATGGGCAAAAATTGGTCCTGTAGGAAACATTTAAAATCATTTTTATTCACAAATAGTGATACTAAAAAGTTGGAACAATGAGTCAGAGTGTAAATTATTCAATGTATTGGAAATAATATTTTATTCATACTTAGGCATCATAATAACATTTTAACACATCTTGCACATTTCAAGTTTGTTATTAATATATGTTTTTAAAACACATTCAATTTAATAGATTTTTAGCAATAGCAGAATCCATTTCCTCCAATTAATCCATTAAATTGAGTATTTACTATACTGTACTTGCATTCTGATTTACTGAATGTCTATTATTACTTATTGTAATATACAATATTTTTCTGCTTTTAATTGAAGAATGTTAACAATAGTTTTTGCAAACTCAAAAATTTATTATTTAGCTTATATCATATCTAGTACATCTTAAAATTGTTTATGAAAATTTTTGTTTGTTTTTTAACTTAAAAAACTAAAAATGGATATTGTACAACCTTATCATAGAATAATAGAATGATATTTAACTAAATAAATAGATAATTATACTATCAAAATTAAAGTACTATTTAATATATTTTATTTAATATATAATTTTAGAAAAATCTGATCATCTATAATTTCCTTTGTTATGAATTTTAAAACTATATATGAACTAATTAATTTGAAATTAGATTTAATTGAAGTTAACAGTATAAATTTTTTGAAATTATCCTTTCTTTTACTAATGTAAACTATTATGAATTATTGCTGTACTGTTTAGAAAGAGTTTATTTCAAAATTATTTTTTGATATATTTTTTGTAGTTTAGTACTGTATTTATAATTTTAATTTTTTTTGTATATTAATTATATAATTTAAAATTTAACCAATTGTAATATATTTTTAATTTAATTTATAAGCTAACTAGATTCATTGAATACTATTTTATCATCATAATGCTTCTCCTATAAATAATTCATAACTTAAACTATTTCTTTAATCTTCTATAAAATTTGTTTTTAATTAAATATTGAATGTCTTGTAATATCCAGAAATGTCTGAATTAAACAGCAAGCTACTTTATTACATATTTTATCAGGAAATAATACAATGTTTAAAATTTTAAACATACTCATAATCAATAAACTTATTTTGACTTACACAGGGGTTGAATATTAACTGGATTAAAGTGTATTTTAAAATATTTTAACAGTTTTTACTATTTTTTTTTGATTTCACAGTCCATATACAGATGCATATTATAGTCAGGAAGGAATTCAGCCTCCTACACAAGAGACTTATGGTGTTGGCTACCAGCCAACTGCCACACCCACCAATGGTCACCATGGAGATGGCAACATCTCTCCTACATCTTCCCAGTTGTCAGTGCCAGGCGAAAATGCCACATTGATCAATCGCACCACCCCACAGCCAAAAACACAGCAGGTATATAAAAGTTACTAACAATGATTTATATAAGAAATAATCTACTTATTATCTTTTAATATTTTTATATGGTTTCAATACTGTAGTTTTGACACTAATAAATAGTGGCAAATCAATAATTATTATTATTCAAATAAACAAAGAAAAAACAAAATATGATTGTAATTATAGATTAAATAGAATATAAAAAATCAAAAAAGTTTTATTAATTCACATAATTTATAATTACCATTTATAAATCTTTGTACAGTACATGATTATTAGAACAACATGAAATGTGTAACAAATTATATCTATTTCCACAATAAAAATGTTTATTTTTAATTTTTACAATTAATAACTTCATAATTAATTAGAATTTATTTTAATGTCATTTTTATGAAGATCTGATTGATAAATTGTGAACATAAAGCAAATAAAAATCATAAAAATATNCGAACAACGGACATTTTTTTATATTCTCGTCAATTACCGTTGTTCAGAGGTTCGACTGCATTATATATTTTACAGGTAACATCAATTCACGTATTAATCGTATGTTATTTAATATGCAATATTGAAATTAAACTTTTCTTTAAAAATATCTCGAAAATTTATTAAAATAAATTGCAATATGTTTACGATTAAACTGACCCTATTTAAAGCCACTGGTGCCGATTTTAATGGATATATATATCGATGTAACTTGATATATATACTCACATCGTGGGGGAGTAGATTTATGAGAAAGAAGTTAATTCGAATTTTCACCACTAGGCAAAAATATAGCGCTTCAAGAACAGGTACAGTGAGGTAATGTTACGAAAACTACGATAAAAGACAACGTGCCTGAGCCATAACAGTGTGTCTCAGCCGAAGACCAATATAACTCCTCCAATTTTCCGAACACCAAAATGCCTGGTGCCACAATTAATTACGTCATACTACGCTTCCGACACGTAACCGGCATAGATATCGCGTATATTGAACACACGGTATAAAATAACATTTTTATTTTCGTTTATGCAGCGCCATTTTTCAACTAGTGGCGAAAATTTTAAGTAATTTTTATTTCCCGGAAATCTATCCTTCATGGTGTGAATGGCATGTATATTAAGCTTCATTGACACATGTCTCTGTAGTACACGTATATTAACTTAATATTATGATTATTATTAAAAAACATGAATTACCATATTTTCGTGTGTATAACCTGTGGATTATTGCATTTAAAAGGCAGTTTGGAACAGATGTGGATTATGCAGTGGTACTGCTTATATGCAATTTTATATTGAAATCATAAACTCATGTGTATGGCATATATGTTACTCCTTAGGCACAAGGTATATGGTGGTGTGGGTTAAGGCTTTCTTTTTGTTCTAACAGTTTTCTGCAGATTATACACTTGAAATTATGGTAGTATTGCAGATTTAAAATTACCTCAAATATGTCATTAATTTTATTTATTTTTTAATATATAAAAATGCCCCAAAAGAAATGAGATTAGCTAAAATGCTTTATTCAGAAGTAAGCAATGTTTTGAAACATTGCAGAGTTAAAAAAAAGTCCAGAATATAAAGTACAAGAATTATACAGAACTTATCAAAAGACTAAATTTCAACATTTATCATTAAAATAAATGCTTTCATTAGTACTGTATATAAATTTGCTTATTTTAAAAACAATGTGTTTCAAAAATTTCAATGGAAAGAATAAATTGAATAATTAAAATGCAGTGTGAAAAATAGTGCTATGTAAGGAAAAATTTTTATTTAAAAATAATCATTAATCAAGCATTTAATCAACTACATAAATTGATTGATTTTTTGATCATATAATTCATTAGTTTTTTTTAAGTAAACAGTTTTAAAATATCAAATAAAAAAAAAACGCATTGCAATTTTAGATTCATTTTGAATCTACAAAAGTAATAATAAACTTTATTAAAATAGTATCATCAGTAATATTAAATATGTTGTGTTAATGATCATTTAACCAAATAATTTATGATAGAATTAAGAAGAATTAAATATGAATATTAACCTTTTGTTTTCAACATTATTAAACATACTTTCTTTGATTATTAATGTTTAAATATTTTTTATGATTTTAGTGTAAAGAATAGGAAATTTTTAATGAAAATCCAGATTATAAACTCATAATTTACTGAAATAATCAAGAAAAATTTTTGATTACCTACGTGTACACTGTACTATAATATTTTAGGATTATAATGTTGTTGTTAAAGTAAAAATATAAAGTTGAAGATGGTAAATAGAAATTTTGAAAATATTTTTCAATGTATTCCTGTCTTTTTAAATTTTGATTATTTTATAAAATGTGAATAGTTTTTAAAATATAGCAGTTTTTTTATTATTATAAATAATTACAATAACAACTTAACAAAGTTCCAGTAGATAAAAAAGAATGTTTTGTAAAATTTTTTGTTTTATATATTTGATACTCTATGTAATCTGAAGACAGCTTATAAAGAAAGCTGAAAACCTTAGTTTTAATTAAACCTTTTAGTACTCCAATATATGTTTTTTAGCTTTTTTTATTACAATAAAAGTAATTAATAAAATTGGAAATTTTAAAAATATAAAAGTAAGAATGACATAAAAACTAACTGTACAGTATATTGAATTCATAGTTACAAAATAAGATTAGAAAACAGAATCATAAATAATAATAAAATTTAAAAGAGTAAAATGTCTTAATGTAGCAGTTACTTTCATATTTGATTCATGATTAATTTTACAATTATCTGCTTATGGTTTCATTGGTTATATTTATTTCAAAAATAGATTAATTTATTCTATAATGAAATAATATTATAACTTGAATTAGTAAAAGCATTTAATTGAAAAAGTGCATTTTAAAATAATAATAATAGTAATAATATTACATTTATCTAACTTAATATAATTTGTTATGGAATTCTGTAATAAAATATTAAACAACTAATAATCAAGAGTTGAATATCAAATATTAATTTTTACTTTAGTGTTAGTTTAATGACATTAAAAATAAAATTATACTGTATATTGTTTTAATGAATTTAGAAGCTTTATTTTATAAGAACCTATGTGAGGAAATACAAAATTCTTTGAATAATGAGAATATGTCAGCTGTAGAAATTAGCATATTCAATTCAGAATTAAAAATATTATACTAGTAGAAAAATATGTAAAATAAGTTTTCTAGAATAGAATAGAATTTATTATACTCATAAAAATCTATTTTGGAAAAGTTTCTTTTCCAAATTGTCAATCTGTATTAATATATTTAAAATAATAAAAAGAAATCAAGTGATTACATAATAGTTAATTTTTTATCATATGCAAGTTCAAGTGAATTATTTCTATTATTGTTCTAATGTTTATTTATTGTATGTATAACTAATATAAAAACAGAAAATTAGTAAAGAAAAACTCAGATATAAATATCATATTGATTTCAAATAGTTTATGTATTCTATAAATATACTATAATAATTTTGTGTACAATTACAGTGAATCACAATTAAAATTATTTAATTTTTTATTATTCAAATATTCTTTATTCAGTCTAAAAAAATATACTATAACAGGACTGATTTACAAATTATATTTTATGTAATAGTGATTAATATTATAAACAGCTTTTACACACAAAAATTTATGTGTAATAAATATTGCTCATACATATTTTCAGTAAATGTTATTCTTGTAGTAAAATATGTTTTTTGTTTTTTTTTTACATATTTCTGTATTTTGGTTCTTTCTTATAATTCTGTAAACAAATATATGAGTAAGAATTTATATGTACTTTTTAAAAGAAAGCTATAAGTACATATAATGTATTTATTCTTTTCTTTAATAAAGTACAATACATGCATAATTAAAATATATATAATTAAAATTTATTGTATGATTTTTTTGCTGCCATTTTTCCATAAGTACAAAATAATAAATAATTTGAAGATATAAACCGATAATTTTGAATATTAAAAATATATATCTTTAAATATTATTCTGCTTATTTAAAATTAATCATTTTGATCAGTTAATTAAAATTTTGTAATAAGAAAATTCATGCTGATATATATTTTTTATACTTTAACATTTTGTAAATTTGTATAATTAATTAATTTATATATTTAATAACAAAATGGGTTTTGTGATAGTATTTTTAAAAATATCATATATAATTATATATATA